CGGTTGACAACTTCTTTAACGCTATGGCCATCTTATACGATGACCCACAACGGGCGGCCTCGGCCGAGGCCACATTATACGCACTCCGACAAGGTCGGCGAGCGGCTGAGGAATACGCCTCTGACTTTAGGCGCTGGATGGGAGACACTCGCTGGAACGAGTTCGCACTTTTGCACCAGTTCCGTATGGGCCTATCTGAGGCTCTGAAAGACGAGCTCGCCCGGGTAGAGGTGCCCGAGACATTAGAGGACTTGATTGCACTCACCATTAAAATTGACCGTAGGCTACGGGAGCGCAGATTGGAGAGGTCTGGTCAGGGTCGCGGAAATACCTGGGGTCATTCCAAGGATCCAGTCAACATACTAGGCCAAACATCCAGAACCTGCCATCTGAAGATGCTCCCGAACCCATGCAGCTAGGCCTGGCACGGCCTAAACTACCGCCAGAGGAACGCCAGCGCAGACGCTCCCAGAATCTGTGTCTCTACTGCGGTGAAGCTGGTCACATGGTACGTTCCTGCCCGCAGAAACTGAGTAAGTTCACCTCATCTTCTTTATCTATTGGCAATATGAATCCGTCCCAATACTTAGTTGTTCCCCTCTCCTTTCAGCTTTCAGAAAGGACCGTGGAGGTGACGGCCATAGTTGATTCGGGGGCATGCAGCTGTTTTGTGGATATCAATTTTGCTCACCAGCAGGGTATCCCCCTCCGTCCAAAGGAGAAGGGGTTTCACATCTTTTTGGCTGATGGGTCCCGGATAAAGTCAGGGGTGGTTAACCAGGAGACCCCTTCCATTGTGACTTCCATTGCCGGTCAGCACCGGGAACTCCTCCGCCTGGATGCTATTGCATCACCCCTTTTCCCAGTCATTCTGGGGCTCCCATGGTTGCGGGCCCATAACCCCCAAATTGACTGGGAAACTGGGGTTGTCTCGTTCCCTTCCCCATACTGTCGGGAACTGTGTCAAACTTCGGGCCCGGAGGTCCCCCAGGTCCTCCTGTGCTCTGAAGGGGATGCCAGCCTAAAACAAGTGATTCCTGCAGCCTATCATAAGTTTCTTGATGTGTTCAGTGAACGGGGAGCAGATGCTCTACCCCCCCCCACCGCCCATATGACTGTCCTATTGATCTGTTACCCGGTTCTGAAATTCCTTTCGGGCGAATTTTTCCCCTTTCTGAGCTAGAATTAGGGGCCCTGAAGGATTATATTGAGGACAGCCTCCGGAAGGGATTCATCCGTCCCTCCACTTCCCCAGCAGGTGCAGGGATCTTCTTTGTAGAAAAGAAGGACAAGACTTGAGGCCATGTATTGACTATCGGAAGCTGAATAGGGTCACAATTAAAAATCGTTACCCATTACCACTGGTACCTGAATTATTCCAGAGCTTAAAAGCTGCAGTAGTATTTACCAAGCTGGACTTAAGGGGAGCCTACAACTTGGATCGCATAAGGGAGGGGGATGAGTGGAAAACGGCCTTCCGCACCCGTTTCGGCCATTTCGAATACCTGGTCATGCCTTTCGGGTTGTGCAATGCGCCGGCCACCTTCCAGCACTTTGTAAACGACATCTTTAGGGACTTCCTGGACATCTTTGTCATCGTCTACTTAGACGACATTTTGATTTTCTCATCCTCCCTGGGGGAGCACAGGGTACATGTAACAAAGGTGTTGGGGCGGTTGCGGCAGCATGGGTTGTACGCTAAAGCAGAGAAATGTTGCTTTGAACAGGCTAGCGTTACATTTCTGGGTCTGATTATCTCCACCACGGGGGTCGCAATGGACCCTCAGAAGGTCTCTGCGATCCTAGATTGGCCTGAACCCACGGACAGGAAAAGCGTCCAACGTTTTATTGGGTTCGCAAACTTCTACCGGAAGTTCATCAAGAACTTCTCGGGTCTGGTCTCCCCCATCACTCAGTTAACCAAGCTTGGGACGCGATTCAGATGGACGCCAGAGGCACAGGAAGCTTTTGAAGCACTAAAGAAGTTATTTACCTCGGCACCCATTCTGGGTCATCCCGACGCCTCCCTGCCCTACATCTTAGAAGTAGATGCGTCAGAAAACGCGGTTGGCTCCATCCTTTCCCAGCGAAAGGGCGCCAAGGAATTACTTCACCCAGTAGCATTTTTCTCACGGAAACTTACCCCTGCGGAGAGGAACTACGACATTGGGGATCGAGAGCTACTGGCTATCAAGACCGCATTAGAAGAATGGAGGTACCTGCTGGAAGGTGCCTCCCATCCCATCCTGATATTCACGGACCACAAGAACCTGGAATATCTGAGGACGGCCAAACGTCTGCGCCCACGACAAGCAAGATGGGCATTGTTTTTTCTCGAGGTTCCAGTTCCACATCACATACAGGCCGGGTTCAAAAAACACGAAGCCAGACGCGTTGTCGCGCATGTACGAGGACACCAAGGAGATCCCAGTACCTGACACTATTCTTCCTGCAGGAAACTTCTTGGCCCTCCAGACGAACCTTCGCTCCGAGATCCTGAGAGCGTCCACAGCGATGTCTACCTCCGATGGGGCGCCCCTCCAGAACAAGGGGGGACTCCTATGGAGGGAGGACCGGATTGTGGTGCCGGAGGATGCCCGAACCTTAGTTGGGACATTGCCATGACCACCCGATGGCAGGACATTTTGGCCCGGTCAAGACCCTGGAACTTCTCCGACGTTCCTTCTGGTGGCCGGACATGGCCAAGGATTGTAAAAGTTACGTGGGCTCCTGTGCCATCTGCCAGCGGAACAAGCCTTCAAGAAATAAGGCGTGGGGCCTGCTACGTCCATTACCCATCCCTGAACGGCCCTGGCAGAAAATCTCTATGGACTTTATAGTCGAGCTTCCACCTTCACTGGACCACACAGCAATTCTCGTGGTCGTGGACCGCTTATCCAAGATGGCCCATTTCATTCCTTTACGGAAGACTCCATCAGCAGCCGAGACGGCGCAAGTTTTTATTCGAGAGGTCGTTAGACTGCATGGGGTTCCCGAAGACATCGTCTCGGACCGAGGGGTGCAGTTTACCTCGAGATTTTGGAGGGCATTGTGCAAAGCCCTGGATATCAAGCTATCCCTTTCCTCGGCATTTCACCCTCAGACCAATGAGAAAAGGACCAATCAGACCCTAGAGCAATACCTGCGATGCTACACATCATTCTCTCAGGACGACTGGGTGCCACTTCTCCCTTTGGCGGAATTCGCGTACAACAACGCTTGCCATTCAGCAACTGGGCAGTCCCCGTTCTTCTCCAACTATGGGTTTCATCCTGTCTTCCTCCCGGATTTGTCCCGGAATGCCCAATTCCAGCGACGCGACACAGGATGCACTAACCTTTTTCACTTCAAACAATAAAAAACTACAGGAAGCCATCCGTCAAGCCCAAGAAGACTACAAGAGGGCTTTTAATAGGAAGCGAAGAGGGGATCTGGTGTTGCAGCCCGGAGAGAAGGTTTGGCTGGCTACATCGAACTTGAAGATGCTCTGCCCGTCAAAAAAGTTGGGACCTAAATTTATAGGCCCTTTTTGCATCAAACGGATGGTCAATGAAGTGGCCTATGAACTTGTTCTCCCTGAGACACTCAAGATCCACCCTGTCTTCCACGTGTCCCTGTTGAAGCCGGTAGTCCCTGATGCCTTCCCGGAACGGGAATCCAGGCCCCCGGAGGCCGTAACGGTTGAAGAGGAAGAAGAATTCGAGGTGGAGGCAATCCTGAAGTGCCGACGAAGTGGGGGGCCAGACCCAATTTCTCATCAAGTGGAAGGGCTACGGCCCTGAGGACAATTCGTGGGAACCAGCCCGTAATGTCCATGCACCTAGACTTGTCCGGAGGTTTCTTTGTGATCACCCGTGGTGGAGAGATCGGGTGGGCATCCGGAGGTTGCCCGTAGGGGGGGGCAATGTCAGGGATCCCCTCGATCCCTGCCGCGATGGTCCCAGCGCAGGCGCACTGCTCCGCCCTGTACACGGGCACTAGGTCCGGGCCGGCCGCGGCGTTCGAGTTCGCGCATGCGCAGTAGAAGCCGCGGCTGCCCGCTGGGCACCAATGGCAGCGCAGGGCGGGATATTTAAAGGTCCCTGAGCTGTCATTTCGTTGCCTTCTGGTCTTACCTGCTTCCTGTGATTCTGTACCTGTGCCTTGTAAGTTTATTGACCCGGATTGTTCTTGACCTGCTGATTTCTCCTGCCCAGACCCTTGCTTGCCTGACCTCTCTCCCTGGATGCCCCTCATTAGATCTGACCTCCTGTTGCTGACCTGGCGTGTGACCCGACGATTCTCTGCCTGCTCCCTTGTACCTTACCGTCCTCTACGTTACCGACTCGGCCTGTCTGACTTCGCACTTGCTCAGCCATCCATCCATCCCATCGGGGTCACCCGACCTCCTCACATCTGGCTCTCCCTGGTTGGAGCCCCTGGCGAACACCCCTACCACTGACAGGTGTGCTCAGTAGTGGCGACCTGGTCTCGGGGTACTACAAGTCCATCCCCACCATCAGGGGCCCTGGTGAACAAGTACCCTGGGGCTTAGACTCCGCGCTCTGGGCACGCCTGACCAGTGGAGTGCTAGTGGTGCCGCTCGGCGGTCCCAATTCAGGTGTGCAAAGCTTATTGCATCATTCTCAAAAAATCTCAAGCCTGTAATTGCTGCTATAGGTGCTTCAAAAAAGTATTGAGTAAAGGGTCTGAATACTTAAGTACATGTAATATTTCAGGGTTTTTTTTTTTTTTTAAAAATGCTCAGATAATTCTAAAATTCTGTTCTCACATTTGTCATTATGGGGTATTGTGAGTGGATTAATGAGAAAAAAAAACATTGAATTTAAGCGCCTCCTGCCCACCATATAAGGTAATGATGGGCGCAAGGCGGTTCTCTCGTTCTGGGAGGAAGTCATATGACGTCCTCCCATTCTAACCACGCATGTGCGGTTCCGGGGCGTTGCGATCGGTGGTGCACTGTCTCCCTTGGACACAGCGGATCACCAATCAGCGGAAAGAGCCAAAGATGTCGGCTCTGTCATGTGATCAGCTGTGTACAATCACAGCTGATCGCATGTAAATAGGGAAATGCCGGTTATCGGCATTTCTCTCCTCACGAGCTGTCATGCTGACAGCTCAAGAGGAGAGGAGATCCGTAATTGACATCCCTCAGAGGGGACATGTACACTGGTCATCAGGGCACTGATGATCAGTGTGCCCTGATGATCAGTGTAGCCCCATCAGTGCCAACTGTGAGTGCTCATCAGTGCCACATCAATGCCACATATCAGTGCCTACCAGTGCACATCAATATCACATATCAGTGCACATCTGAGCTTCCTTTCACTGTTACCTATCAGTGCCAGTCAGTGCTGTTAATCAGTGCCAGTCAGTGGCACCTATCAGTGTGCATCAGTGTCGCCTAGCAGTGCCGGTTAGTGCCGCCTATCAGTGCTGCTTTTCAGTGCCCATCAGTGATGCCTGTTAATACCCATCAGTGCCACCTACCAGTGCCTCCTCATCAGTGCCACCAATCAGTGCCCATCACTGCAGCCTCATTAGCGCACATCAGTGAAGGAGAAAAATCACTTATTTACAAAATTTTATAACAAAAACTAAGAAAAACTATTTTTTTTTTTCATAATTTTCAGTTGTTTTTGGTTTGTTTAGCAAAAAATAAAAATCCCAGTGGTGATTAAATACCACCAAAAGAAAGCTCTATCTGTCTCAAAAAAATGATAACAATTTCATTTGGGTACAGTGTTGCATGACCGCACAATTGTCATTCAAAGTGTGACAGCGCTGAAAGCTGAAAATTGGCCTGGGCAGGAAGGGGGTAAAAGTGCCCTGTAGGCAAGTGGTTAAGCAACTGTTTTATCAGGCTACAACTTAACATTTAAAAAAAATTAAGGGGGTCTGAATACTTTATGAATGCATTGTGTATATTTTTCTATGCAACTAATTATCCCAGTGTGTATATGTCTGCACGTTCCATCTGAATCTAAATCTGAAATTTACAGGTCATACTGAGTGATGTAATTTCCCATTCTATGAAAAAAGACTGCCAATAAGGAAAATGTGTCTGTGAAAACAAAGATGTGAAGTATAGTACCTAGCGGGAGTGTAAGGAGACTAAGGTTTGTGCTTATGCACTTTACTGAGTTGAAAAAACAAACGTTTGCTTTTTAGTCAATAAAGTCATAAATGGTACAGTTATAAAATACTTAACCTTCCATTAAAAAACACATGGTCTGTATGGAATCCAACATTCAGGAAAGTCTAACTAGCAAATATAACCTGCAAATTGACTCTTTAGCTGAGTGGTTGTCAGCGGGAGCCCACAGCTCTGTTTTTTGTAGACATGGCAAGTATTCTATAGCCACCTCTACCATATTTTTGTTTGGAGGAGCTATTTGCTAGGATAGCTGGGGAATATATTCCCTGAACTCCAAACTATCTAGACAAGTGTCTAGTAAAAAAAAAAATCGCTTTGGCAGTGCTTATTTCAAGAAATGCCTATTACAATCTATACCCTGTTCCAAATTATTATGCAAATTCTATTTAAGTGTCACAAAGATTAAATATTTTGTTTTTCAGTTTAACTCATGGATGGCATTGTGTGTCAGGGCTCTTTTGATCACTGAAAACAATCTCGGACACCTGTGATAATTAGATTGGCCGGTGAGCCCAATTTAAGGAAAAACTTTAGTGGAGGGTGTTCCACATTATTAAGCAGAGCACCATTTTTAAGCAATATGGGGAAGAAATAGGATCTCTCTGCTGCCGAAAAGAGTGAAATAGTTCAATGCCTTGGACGAGGTATGAAAACATTTGATATTTCACAAAAACTTAAGCGTAATCATCACACTATTAAGAGATTTGTGGCTGATTCAGAGCACAGACGGGTTCATGCAGATAAAGGCACATTGAGGAAGATTTCTGCCAGATCCCTGCATCGGATCAAGAGAGCAGCTGCTAAAATACCATTACATGGCAGCAAACAGATATTTCAAGCTGCTGGTGCCTCTGGAGTCCCACGGACATCAAGGTGTAGAGTCCTCCAGAGTCTTGCAACTGTGCATAAACCTTCTATTCGGCCACCACTAACCAATGCTCACAAGCAGAAATGGCTGCATTGGGTAGAAAAATACATGAAGACTAATTTTCAAACAGTCCTGTTCACTGATGAGTGCCGTGCAACCCTGGATGGTCCAGATGGAGTAGTGGATGGTTGGTGGACGGCCACCCTGTTCCAACAAGGCTTTGACGTCAGCAAGAGGTGGTGAAGTCATGTTTTGGGCCGGAATCATGGGAACAGAGCTGGTCGGCCCCTTTAGGGTCCCCGAAGGTGTAAAGATGACCTCTGCAAAGTATGTGGAGTTTATGACTGACCAATTTCTTCCCTGGTACAAAAGGAAGAACTATGCTTTACGTAATAAAATCATCTTCATGCATGACAATGCACCATCTCATGCTGCAAAGAATACCTCTGCATCAATGGCTGCTATGGGGATAAAAGGAGAGAAAGTCATGGTGTGGCATCCATCCTCCCCTGACCTCGATCCTGTTGAGAACCTTTGGAGCATCCTCAAGCAAAAGATCTATGAGGGGAGGCAGTTTACATCCAAACAGCAGCTCTGGGAGGCTATTCTGACATCTTGCAAACAAATTCAAGCAGAAACTGTCCAAAAACTCACAGGTTCAATGGATGCAAGACTTGTGAAGCTGCTATCAAATAAGGGGCCCTATGTTAAAATGAAATGTGACCTGTTAAAATGTTTAAAAAAGTTAAAATGTTGTTTAAAAAGTTTGATTGAAATAGCTTTTGATTTCAGTAAATATGCTGCAAACACAACAAATGACAATTTTCAGTTCTTTACAACCTATGAAGTGTTTTGAAACTTACTGTGTGTAATAATTTGGAGCAGTGCATTTAAGTTTTTTATGTTTAACAAAAATACTGTTATCATTAGGAGGTTTGTTCAATAAAATGTGAATTGTACTCTTAATAGCTGATAACATGAGAATTATGTTGACTGTTATTTACATCAATTATTTAGGTAAATGAGAAAAAATATCACTTGCATAATAATTTGGAACAGGGTGTACAGTTGTGCTCAAAGGTTTGAAGTTGCATCCCCCTAAAGAATTGGTAATTGTATGTACCATTTTTAAAGAAAACTGAGTAAGCAGGCAAAACACATATAATTTATTTCTTACGGGATTCATATTCAGCTGTAGGTGATAACAGAATGGTACAATCATAAAACAACACATGTAAACAAATGAAATGACCCCTGTTCAAAAGTCTGTATACTTAGTTCTTAATACTGTGTATTGCCCCCTTTAACATCAATGACAGTGTGAGGTCTTATGTAATAGTTGTCTATGCGGCCTCGAATACTTGCAGGTGGTAAAGCTGTCCATTCATCTTGGCAAAATGCTTTAAGGTCATGCAAAGTCTTTGGTCATGTCACATGAACTGCACGTTTGAGATCTCTCCAGAGTGGCTCGATAATATAAAGGTCAGGAGACTGTGATGGCCACTCCAGAACCTTCACCTATTTCTGCTGTAACCACTGGAGGGTCAACTTGGCCATGTGCTTAGGGTCGTTGTCATGCTTGAAAGTCCAAGAGCATCCCATGTGCAGCTTTTGTGCATAGAATGCTCATTGTCTGCCAGTATTTTCTGATAATGTGCTGCAATCATCTTGCCATCAATTTTCACAAGATTCACTGTGTCTTTGCAGTGCACACACCCCAAAAACATCAGTGAGCCATCACCACGCTTCACAGTGGGGATAGTATTCCTGTTGCTATAGACCTTGTTGACAGCTCTCCAAACATAGAATTTATGGTTGTGACCATAAAGCTCTATTCTGGTCTTGTCACTCCAGATTACAGTGTACTAGACATTGTGAGGCGTGTCAAGGTGCTGTTGGACCTATTGTAAGCAGTCTTTTTTTGTGGCATTTGGTGCAGTAAAGGCTTCTTTCTAGCAACTCAAACATGCAGCTTATTTTTGTTCAAATATCGTTGTATTGTGCTCCTTGAAACTACCACATCATCTTTTTCCAGAGCAGCCTGTATTTCTCCTGAAATTATCTGTGGACTTTTCTTTGTATCCCAAACAATTCTTCTGGTAGTTGTGGCTGCAATCTTTCTTGGTGTAACTGACCTTGGCATGATATCAAAATTTCCACTTCTTAATGATTGGACAGTACTGACTGGCATATTCTAGGCTTTGGATATCTCTTTATACCCCTTTCCATCTTTATAAAGTTCCATTACCTTGTCACGCAGGTCTTTTGACAGTTCTTATCTGCTCCCCATGGATACGTATGTAGCCTGCTTAGTGCATCCATGTGAGAGCTAACAAACTCATTGACTATTTATACACAGACACTAATTGCACATTAAAAAGCAACAGATGTGGAAAATTAACCTTTAATTGCCATTTTAATCTGTGCATGTCACCTTGAGTATATGTATCAAGGCCAAACATTCCAGGGTATGTAAACTTTTGATCAGGGCCATTTTGGTGATTTCTGTTATTATGATTTTAAAAGGAGCCAAACCACTATGTAATAATAAATGACTTCATATGATCACATCCCTTTGGCATGATCTGTCATATTTTCAATATCACTGCCAAAATTTCACAATTTCTGCCTGGGTATGCAACCTTTTGAGCACAACTGTACTAAGTGGATCATCATACAGTAGAGAACTATATACAATATATTCCCATGGGAGAATGACCACATTGCAGTAAGTCCAATGAATGAAAAAAAATATATACAGCACACAGTGTGCACATGGCACATTCTGCCTCTGCTAATTAAACTTTGGCTTACTGGAGTGCAATTGTTTTTTCCATGGACATTGTGTGTGGAAGCCTGAACAAACCCTTTGCAACTTAGGCACTCGTTCTGTGGAAGGATGAGCCTGCTGAGCTTGAAGAGCAGCATATTATTTGTTTTTTGGGAAGCCTGGTTGCTCTGATATTCAGATATTCTTGGGTCACATGGCCTTACTATTGGCTCATTACTATGATGACCTACCTCATTGGTCAGTAGCAGGGGCGGACTGACAACTCATGGGGCCCCCGGGCAATAGGGGATCATGGGGCCCCTGTGTCCTTGCCCAAACTCAAAAAAGCCTTTGAGAAAGGTACCAGGGGCATCTCATGGGACCCCCTACTGACCCCGGGCCCTCGGGCAGTGCCAGAGTTTCCAAATAGTCAGTCTGCCCTTGGTCAGTAGTGAGGCTTAGAGGGGGGGAAAGAAGTGTGGTTAAGTTCTTGACCCATTTGTCGTGGGAGGCAAAACTCTAGATTAAAATGGTATTAAACCCAAAACCAAAAATGTATTATATTGCAGTTTACAATCATTAGATGTGGTGTCTGCATCAGTTTTCTTTTTGTAGGTTTTTTCCCTTTGTTTTTACCTGGTG